CCACAGGAGAACGCCGACGACTCTTTTGAAACCATCCCATTGGGAGACCAAACAGACTATGGTAATGTCACTTCTCCTTGAAATTATTCTTCAAAAGTGTCACCAGCTAGCGATCAAGAGCGTATATGGCTTCTGATGTTTAGACACACTGGAGCACTGTCGTCCGAAAAAGATATCGTCATGGAGAGTCCCTGGAAGGTTATGGGACGTCAACGGTGGCTAGAAACCATGCTCCTCCAGTGGACAGACACTTCCGGCCAGGTTGCTTCCCAGATGCCTCGGAACTCGTTAATGCAGCAGTTGCGTTCGGCGACTGAGTTTCATCAGCTTAATGTCCTACTACTGGACAATAACTTCCGGAACCAACGGGTATGCTACCCAATTTATAAATCCCTCTTTCGTTAGACCTCCTACCCTACATGCCTAGGTGGGCAAAATGTCGATGACTTCGTCAGGCGAATATTTTTCGCACTATTCGACGATGAAATTAGTACGTATGCCCATTTCAAAGGAAGGAAGACAAAAGAAAGCCTCAGCGAATTCAAACTGTATGATATTATAGGTGGTACAGTGAGTGACCGATCTCATGAAATGTTGGCCGAAATTCTGAAATGCGTTTTCGATTAGGAAGGATTACTTAGGCGGGGTTGTAGTGCCGATTGTCTTGCGGCATAATCCTATAATAGTTTGGACTCGAAAGGATCTTGGCTTATGAATGCACTGCTTTTCAATCTCCTGTAGAAATCCTGCTTGGTAAAAAATGAGTACTTAAGTAACATTCATTTTTCCCATTGATTTTCGATGTTCTTGCAAATTAAAATATATTTTATCGAAACCCCAGACAAAATATGCTTTCTTTCAGTTGTTTGATAGAGAATCACGTCCTCTTTATATTTCATACTCGAAGAAGACGTATGATGAGTTTTTAAAAAGTTTTCTAATTGTCGTGTAATTCGGAGCCTGATCATTCGTTGCATTAGCGCGTCGTGATTTCAGCCTACAAGGTGCATGCGTTGTGCGCAAAGAAATCGCGTATTCTTCTATGCTTTTAAAAAGATGCCATATTGAGTCCGTAAACTTCTGCAATGGATGCGGACTATGTTGTGCATTTCATGAAGAGCAGTGGTAAACGGACAGGTACGATGCTATGTTAGTAGACATTGTACGGTCAGGAAAAAGCTCATAATTGGAAACTTTCTTAGAACCAAATTATACTCCTTCTTCGGGTATAGAATACAAAGAGGACGTGATTCTCTATCGAACGACTGAAAGAAAGCATATTTTTGTTTGGGGTTTCTATAAAATATATTTGAATTTGCAAGACCATCGAAAATCCCCGGGGAAAACATATGCCACTTACCTACTCATTTTTACCAAGCACGATTTTCTACAGGAGGTTGAAAAGCAGTGCATTCAAAAGGGGACATCTGCCGAGTCCGAAATTATATAGAATTATGCCGCACGATAATCGGTATTGCAACCCCCTTAGTAATTCTCCCTAATCGAAAACGCATTTCAGACTTGTGGCCAACATTTAATGAGATCGGTCGCTCACTGTAAATGTACAGGCCCGATGGAAATTTATCGAAAGCACGCGTGTGATCGCCAAATGATCTTTTGGATAAAATATTTCCTGAAAGATTTTACCTATGAATTGTATTGCCTTAAGGTATTTTGTCCAAGCATAACCCCTTGGTCCTCACCCAAGTAAATGAACTTTTGCAGAGAAGACTTGGTGTTAAAACGTTTTTGAACAAGCGGGGAACGCTCTCTGAAAGACTTTCACCCTGGAAGTGCTAAACTAGGGTATTCCGAATAATCATGCTCCACGCTCCACCTCTTCCTGTTGGGCGAAACGTTTCGGCGACACTTAACTTCTTCAGCCGATATACGCACCTTTTGTTTTGCTTATTCTACGGTTGTTTCCGACATACAGTAGGTGGGCTAACTCATGAACTGTCAACCGAAATTCTGAAATGCGTTTTCGTTATGGGAAGATTAAATAAGTAGGGTTATAAAACTAGACAGCCTGCAACATAATTCTGTAGTGATCCAGTTACGTCAGGATGCCGGCTTTCGAACGAACTTCCTTTCGGCTGCATGTAAAAACTGCACTCTGTAAAAAATGACTACATAAGTAGCATGAACCGAATAATACACTTCCTTCGAGTATAAAATTGAAAGAAGACGTAATTTTCTCCCAAATGAGCAAAATAATGAATATTTTTGTGCATGTTTTCTATGAAATATAATTGGACTTTAAGGGCCATTGGAAATTAATGAAAAAATTAATGCTACAAAAGTAGTCATTTTTTACAGAGTGTAGTTTTTGCATGCAGCCGGAAGAAATTTCATTCGAAAGCTAGCATCCTGACGCAACTGAAATACTATAGAATTATGTTGCACGATTATTGGTTTTACAACCCTACTTAATTAATTGTTTTCGAGACGATAACGTAGTTCGGAATTTCGGTTGACATTTCATGAGTTAGCCCACCTACTGTATATCTGCTGAAGAAGGCAGTCGCGAGGGCTTCGGTTCAAAGGATGGTCACCCAACGTTCGAAATTTTATTAAGTGCACCTTGAAGATGAAAGCGAAAGTCCAAAGTAGACATTGCGTACCTTTTTGTCTGTGATTCTTGCGCGAGTTTAATTAAATTCCCTATAAATGATGCACGAATACACATGCACCTGTCCACCGCTCTAAAGAGATACGAATTTGATGCCGCTTGCAAATATAATCTAACATTTTACACAACAACCAACCTCTCCGCAATTGGCCTCTAATCCATTTTCATCCCAGCCAACAGTCCTGATTTGAATCCTATCGAAAATCGTTTTGGAATAGTCAAAAGAAATTGGCACAAAGCTAAGAAGACTCTTTCAATGCAGGACAAATTGGATTTCATACTCAATAATTACATTTTACAATCCACCTTAGATAACTTCGTCATGTCTATGTCTGACAGACTTTTTGCCGTTATTAATTCAAAAGGACAATCAACAAAGTACTGATTTTTTGTATCTGTTTCTGTCCTTAATTATTTTTGCCCTTTTATGCGCCCTCCTCCTTTATACGCCCTCATACGTAGCCTTTATTAACTTGGTTGTAATATAGGCGTTTCTCGAAAATGTGACTTCGGTCGAAGATTATTTATTTTTATCTCAGTAAATAATATTTTCTGAACCAAACTTTTCTTTATTTCTTTGGCACGTTTTTTATTTTCCGCTATCAGACTTTGGGAGCCGTAGTGTTTACCGATCCTGCGTTAAAGTTGCGCGGAGACATGATACAAACTTTCCGTATCGTGCGCGGCTTGGATTGTGCCCTTCGGTGCGATGAATTTTTTCAACTCGCCACTACAACTAACCTCCGGGGACATCCCTTCAAGCTACGTGTGCCACATGGTAGACTGAATGTGAGAAAATATTTCTTCTCCAGCCGTGTCGTGGAACCGTGGAATAACCTGCCCGAGACGATTGTCATGTCTCAATCTGTGGAGACATTTAAATGTCGCCTTTACAGATATATGCTGCAGGAACAAGCGGACTATGTGACTAGTGACATATGTGAATCAATGTATGCATTCACTTAATGCTGTAATTTCTTCACATTTTTGCTTGTTTATCGATTTTTTTATGTACAAATAGGGAGTTCAAAGGCGTAAGCCTATTTCCCTCAAATACACTGACTGACTGACTGACCTGTGTTAATTCATGGCATTTCATGAGTTAGAACAGGTACTGTATAAACATAAGTTTCAGACCTGCTTTCGACGTCAGGAGTTGAATGGAGGCATCAGAATTGGACAGTGTGCATTCCTTCTGAACCAAAATTTCTGGACAAAGAGGTCAGGCGTCGTTCCTGATGACTCAATCATTGACATGAACCATGTTAAACATCATGTTGGCAGTTTTAATGAACATAAAAGCATTGGACTACACAAAGAACGCGTCGCATATTCCAAAAAACCCAATTACAGGTTCTTCTTAAGCCAATATTACCTAACATACTACCATCGCTCATCGATCGGGTTACAGAAGGTGTTAGTTTTATAGTGTATTGGGGCTCACAATAGAGCCCTCGCAGGCAGTCGCACTGCGACTAGTAGTAGATATAGATGAGATCATACCCACAAAAACAACGGAGGCCGAAATGGCCATTTCTGGTTTATTGGTCGTGATTAGCCAGTCATGCCCAACCCCAAGTGTGGATCAATTGAGATTCGAACCCGGGATCCTTGTTTGTGGAGTCTGACACTCTACCATTGAGCCACGGACCTGCTGTCCCGTCGTTCACCGATCGGGTTACGGAACGTGTCTTTGTCGGTACCACCCACTTCCCTATAGTACTCGTCGCTGTGCGGGTGTCTGCGAGGGTTCTAGTTTGAGTCTCAAGGCACAATGGAACTAACACGTTCTGTAACCCGATCAGTGGGCGTCCATCTATCATAGCTGATGTTCCCGACCACAACCGACAGAACGGCGGGCCCCTGGCTCAATGGTAAAGTGTCATCCTCTTTGACCAAAGATCCCGGGTTCGAATCTCAAGTGATCCGTGTAGGATTGGTTTTTTAGACCGTTTACCATCTTTGTTGCCCTACGTTGCACCCGTTCGAGGCATGCTTGGTCCTTTAAAAGCCATGGCCGTCATGCTTGTATGCCATATTCTAAGTGGGGCCGAACGAAGGTGCCGTAAACTCTCCCAAAAAGGTCTTGGTCAACGTTTACGAAAGCCCTTTTGGTTGTATGCAGCACTCCCATGGCGTTTTTTGCAGCCTTGTGGCACTGCAGTGTTGGTTTCAGATTGTTCTGTATCCAAACCCCGAGATCCTTCTGCGAAGATTCTGCGGGGAGTCTTATATCTTTCAGATGATATGTTCTCAGGCTCCCATTTGAATGACAGTTAGTTGGACGCAGATGGAGGACGGCACACTTTTGCACATTGAAGTCTAGAAGCCATTTCTCCGACCACGCTTGCAGCCGATGAAGATTGTTTTAGAGGTATCTCTGGTCGTTAGGACTCTTAATGACTTGCCAGAGCTTAACGTCGTCAGCAAACATTATTTTGCCACAGTCGAGTTCCTGAAGGCTGTCATTAACATAAAGGATGAATAGCACTGGTCCCAGAACTGAGCCTTGAGGCACACCACTGGCCACGCTCACCCATTCTGACATATCCTCACCGATGCAAACACGTTGTTTCCGACCAACCAGAAACGCCCCTATCCATTTCAGAAGATCTCCCCGGATGCCGATGGCGCTCAATTTGTGAAGAAGGCGTTGGTGCGCAACAGTATCGAAGGCTTTGCGAAAATCGATGAACACATGCTGAAAATCCTGCAAGAGGTTATTTTCTTCACAAAATTGCTGTATGGCACTCTTTACTAGAGCTTCCATCGTTTTGCACGAGAGGCAGGTTAAGCTAATAGGCCTGAAACAGCTTGCTGCCATCCTGTTACCACCCGTATGTAAGGGAACGAGGTTAGCTGTCTTCCACTGTGATGGCAGCCTTCCTGTTCTCATTGACAGCTCAAAGAGCGTTGAAAGAGGCTTCGCTAGCTCCTTTGATAGCTCCTTAAGTATCAGATCAGGAATTCCGTCGGGTCCAGGATACTTATCTGGTTTTATTTGACTGAGGACGCGTCTTACTTCTTCGACGGAAAAGGCAACGGTTTCAATGACGGCAGTATCTTGGCGTATTTGAAGCTCCCGGCTGTTTCGGTCCATTTCAAACTGCTGATCGTCTTCTGAGGACTCCTCCGTAAAAACTGACTGAACAAACTCAGACAGTAGCTGCACTTTCTGGGGCCCTTCGACTAACAAGTTTCCGAGGCTATCGTTAAGACACGCAATTTCGTCCCTGTGTTTTTTCCTACTACGGATGTACTTGTAAAACTTCTTGGGACATGTAATGGATTCTGCTACCAGTCGGCGCTCGAAAGAAGTTCTAGCAATCCGTATTTGTTTGCGGCATTTATTGCGCTGATCCTTATATTCGGCGAATGATACTGAATCTCGAAGTTGCAAATACTTTTTCCACAGCCTCTGTTTCTTCTTCATGGCCTTTTTGTCGTCGGATTGACCCACGGCGGTCGCGCACATGGTCTTGTTATTTTTATTGGGCAATAGGAGTCAATTAGACGCTCTATAATCCCGCGAAAGTACTGCCAGAATTCTTCTGAATCTTCATTGTTGACTAACCAGGCTTCCTCCAAAAGAGCACGTCTCATTGCGTTAAAATCACCCTTCCAAATATTTCTGCGACTCTTGATTTTTGGTTGTTGGTTCGATAGGAGAGAGCACACGCATGTAAAAGCAATATGATCGCTTAAACTGAGGGGAGGTTGGGGATTCACTTCTTCTATGACTCCTTCTCCTTTACTAAAAACGAGATTTAAACAGTTGGATCGTTGTCCGTCTCTTAGTCTTGTTCCGAATTTTATGTGTTGAATGAGGTATTCATTCAGGGAGAGTTGTAGTAGCTTGTGGTCAAATAACGTGGACGGGGCGTTTGCTAAGGGAACTTTCCAGTCTATTCCGGGAGCATTAAAGTCACCCAGAAGTAGTAAGTTCTCCTGCTTACATAACAACTCCAGTACACTAAGTAATTCCACATCGGCGATTTTATTCGAGCTGGGAGGCCGATAGACAACACACAGGTTAAGTGTCGGTAATTGTTTGACGCACATCTTGCATGAAATTATTTCAAAAGTTCGCGGCGCGTCATCGATTATTTTTCGCTGACAACAAGGAATTTCATTTGACACATAAATCGCTGTGCCTCCTCCTCTTCGTTGAAATCTGTCACAACGGAACAGTTGGTAGCCTTCAATACTGACTTCGCTACTACTTATCTCCTCAGACAGCCATGTCTCTGTTAAGACTGTGAGGCTTCTGTTCAGAGACTAGTAATCCGAGTTAATCTAGTTTGTTGAGGAGGCTCTGACAGTTAGTGTAATAGATTTCGAGACAACGACCACTGGTGCCCACAGCCTCAGGAGTTGGCACTTTTGTGTTGGTTAGGCTGTCAGAATGACGGCCTTCGGCCAGAGAAATGTCCTCTGGACCTGAATTGTTTGCCCGTTCTTGATCTCCAATAGCTTCAGAAAGCCATGTTTCTGTCAAGGGGATGATATCTGGCTTGTGCTCGTCGATTAGAGTCCTGGGTTCATCCATCTTGTTTAACAGGCTCTGCGCATTCGAGTACAGCACCTTTAGTGTCCGTCTTCTCGGAGGGTGCCGGCCCTGATTACAAATGGGGTTAGCCACAGGAACGATCGCTTGATCTGTATTATCTTGCCTTCCTTTATTTTCAACCCCTTCTCCCCCTCTTCTGTCCTTCTTTTCAGTTCTGTCCAGAGCTCCCTCATCTTGTGTTTCACTCTACTTAACTATACTACCAAGTATAAAGTGTATATAAGACTCGTCTTACTGAACCGAATGAGTATTTGAAGGGATCCCTATGTGGAACCCATCAAGGAAATGTATTGAGACATGCGCATATCCTGAAGGTCAACGAATAAATTGAACATCACACTGGGAAGTATTCCGTCGTGAGTGTGATTTACACAGATGGTCGAAGAGAAAGAATGCATGAGATCCCCTGTAGGTGTGCTCGATGGCCATTGACATGGAAACCGTACTAAAACGGTTCACGTCAAGTTGTGTTGTGCTTTGTACTGTCTGGCACAGTTTGCCCTCTACAACGAACCATGCGAGATTTGTGCTGGACCAACAGGGAAGCCAGATTGCGGCATGACACGCATTATTCGGGCAGTGCACCAATAACATGACGTGCCTAAGGCTATCAGGATGCGCTAAAAGCCCCGGCTTGAAAGGTTGCCAACTGACCCGGGATAACCCGGTCCAGGGGAGTCCGGCTGCAATGGCTCCTTCTCAGGGTGGCATCTATACCACTCGCACTTCGCGTGATCCGGACCGCACCCTTTTTGTTTGTGCCAGTAAAGGTCACCGTGGGCGCACCAGACGTATGTATGGCACGCCTAGAGGGGCCGTATGGTTTCTCCGTCACCGCGGCCAATCCTGTCCCGATCTTCTTAACTCTGCTTTCATACAGAGCCCAGGAGGATGAGGACCGGTTTTGATCCGAGCTACGTCGCTTTTTGTTTGCGTGAAGATCCGGTTCATCGTGCGCGGACCAGGTGTGTGTGGCACGCGTAGACGGGCCCTCTGGCTTCTCGCTCACCACGCCCAATCCTATCCTGGTCTACCCGGTTGTCTATGTGTGTGTGTGCCTTATGGATAGTGTCTCTCACTCGACAACTGTGGTTACCCAACCCTGAAGGGTGATGGTTCAGGTAAATGCAGGACTACGTGTCACCCCTCTGGACCTAATAGTATGTAAGCGCCCGCTATGCCCAGGATCAGCGAACCATGACCCTCACAGCCTGGTATGCGCTGACAGTTCTTTGACGCCTGTTTTACTGCCGGTAGATGCGCTTGCGCTCCCGCGGGGAAGCATGGCTGCTCAGTCATCCTCGTCCTTCTGACCCGCTGTGGTGTTGCTATTGTTGGTCAAAATCCTGGTGTCTTGTCGTGTGGACCAGGGGGTGTGGAGTGAAATGCCGAGGTGCGGGCTCAGCCACATCATCCAACCGCGCCCTCTCCCACCTTCGGTTCTTTTTGACTCCGTCTTGACACATGGCGCCAGGGAGGAAGAGAGAGAGAGAGAGTGCAGTTGATGCTACGCCAGTCCACCAGGCATGTCAACATCCCTGCACCCGCCCTGCTGTGGGTGGACATCGTCGGATCCGACGGTCGAACTGACTACTGGCCACAGTTGGTGTTCGAGTGGTTTTGTTGCGATCTGTTCCGTCACTGAGCACTCGGCCAAGGCAGACTGTCCTATCTTACTTAGGAGCTGACTCGTAGCTGTTGAGGACTATGGACCGTATGTAAACGGGAAGCATGAAGTATCTCCAATGCTGCGAACTATACCCGACGACCCAACACAATCTCGACCGGCGGTATGTAATGTTCTCAGGATTATTTGAAGGTTTTTTCGAAATTTTGAACAGCTGTTTGCTGGGAGGAGCAGTACCATAAAGTGGAAGAACGCACTGGTGAGCTAAAACCCCCTGGAAGTTGCGTCATACATCCGCGAACAATCGATGAGCGGCATCGATCCAGGACTTCCTCCACCAGCGAATGAGGCGCAATACGTCAATGTTGAATAGGACATGTCTGTCTGAAAAAGACATTATATGAGTGGTGCAAAGAGTGCTAAGGGTTTTAACAAAGGGCTTCAGAGTGGCCGACTGAACCAGAGGATTTAAGTAATTGTTGAACATGAAGAAGGAGACACGGTCGCTGGGACAAGAGCTTTATTAGCCTGACGTTTCGGATTCCTGCTCGAATCCATCATCAGAGACAACAGCAGATACGGGTGGTTCATGCATATGCGGCTGCAGTATTTATAGGATGCAGTAGCCCTGCTACCGCATACCTATGAACATTCATGGCTCCCCCCTTCATCCGCGATCGTTGTACTTGGTGTGCTAATTGTTTGATGGCCGACATTCGCATCGTTAATTGCTGCAATTTCATCACGTGCGTTGGATGTTGGTGTGAGGATTGCTCGACTATCTGACGCGCCGACCCTGGTGTTGTGACAAGTGTCCACATGTGCGCTCATCGCGTGGCTTATTACTCCGCCTAGGCGAAGTCTCAGCACCGAGTATGGAAGAAGTTCATTGCACTTGTTCATTGACTGGGGGCCAGTAAACCATGATTCAAGTAGCTCCCGGTTCACGCGGTTGTCACCTCTTGCGAGAATTTCGGCCTCGTCGAATTTAAATGTGTGGCCGGATCTCGTCGAATGAGCCGCAACTTGATAGCTGGCGTCATTTCTCCGCACCACTGCAGCGTGTTCGGCCATCCTCGTTCGGAGCTGTCTTCCAGTTTATCCGACGTAGTTATTTTGTCCGCGACTGCACCAGATCCGATAAACGACTCCAGACGTTTCCAGCCGTGAATGTTCATAGGTATGTGGTAGCATGGCGACTGCATCCTATAAATACTGCAGTCCCTTGTGCGTGAACCATTCGTATCTGCTGTTGTCTCTGATGATGGGTTCGAGCAGGAATCCGAAACGTCAGGCTAATAAAGGTCTTGTCCCAGCGACCGTGTCTCCTTCTTCAAGACTACTTCCTGGGACTCGTCTCTTCGCTTCCATTGGCAGTTGTTGAACCTCTACACCCCAAACTTGACCGCGATGTCTACCAGCGTGTAAGACGCTACGTGGATACTGTGCGTCCTCAGTTGAAGACCCATGCGCTCATAAGAACAAGAATTCCATTCCTTGCAAGACAGGGATGACTGCTACATAGTGGGGTAATAGGTTGTTCGACGGCGCGATTCACCCGATACGAGAACTAAATTCTTTCGCGAGCTTGTCCTCCACAGCGTTGACGGTAGCCCAAATGCGTACACCCCTCCCCCCCTACACCAGCACGCAACGGAGGATGAAAAAGACGGTAGGTAATGAAGGAGTACGGAATGCGTTTGAGAAGTTGGTACAAGGAAAATAGTTGGCAGATAATCTGCATGTCCGGGAGACAGCATTGAGTATACGCGAATAACCGTATATATATATAGAGGCATGTATATCAAACAGGATGCAGTCACTCGAGGTCCTTTTTGTCCGAGCATCTGCATAGAAATGGGATAGTGAGAGAGAGAGAGAGAGAGAGACAAGGAGATAATGGACTGGAAACAGCAGCAAATCAGAGTTCTGGTTCCAAAAGTGCACAAAATAAACTCTCTAGACAACGGAACTTTCGTCGAGGAATGATGGAAGATGGAGAAAGGGCCTTAGAAGT